CCACGGTTTCCTCAAAAGCGCTCTAGGCACTGTAACCTCGTAAGCCTATAAAAAAAGCCCCAAAACCTGCAGAGAAGACAGTAACGAGCAGAAATTTCAGGCTTAGAGTAAATGACGACAATATACGAATCACGGGTAAACAATCCCATAGCGATTCACACCAAGTAGTTCCGACTTGCACTTTTGCGAAATCGATCAAAATTCCCGGAGAAACATTTCCTCCCATTAAACAATTATCTCTTATCCTTAGCAATGTGGATAAAATGTTGTTTACCTCAGTATTTGCGGATGAGAGGATGAACAGTTACTATTTTCAGATCGGAGGGCATGTGGGGTAACAAGATATGAGAAAAAGTAAGGTCAGCCTAGTATGTCCTTAACCTTAATGCAACACAGTCAAAAACCAATAGTTGGCGAGTTCTCTAAGATTAACTTGGAATCAAGTCGCTATACACTCTGCAAGCACTCTAGTTAAATTTGACAAGAAAACAGTCAAGCGTACACCAAGCTGTAGTCAGCTAAGTGTAAGTTTGACTGTATTCTATAGTCAAATATAACTATTTTTAACGGTGTACGGACTGTTCACTGGCCGATCGTTTGTTCCTTTCGACCCAATTACTGCTTAACGTATATTTCGGCGTCAATAGTCATTTATTTATTATTTCAATTGGGTAGCCCATTCAGTGGAGTCCACTGGTCTCCCATGGAGCCCAGTAAAGAGAAGACACTGTGAAGAAATGACAGTTTTAGATGTGGGAGGAAAACCTCCAGAAGAATGTTCTGAGGAAAACCCACGGAATCAAGTAGGGACTGAAAACCCAATCCACATGTTGGCACAGGTAGGATTCGAACCAGGGTCACAGCAGTGGAACGCGAGGAACATACCGCTAAGTGCGCCAACCTGACTTTGAGTTTTTTGCTGTTCACGTAGCAAGCCTATATAGTGTTCTCTTGGAACCAGTAACTGACTGACTGACTGACTGACTGACTCCCCAGACTTCTCCCCTAGACTGAAAGCCTCACCATTTGGTTCAAACTTGTTGACTACATAGACCCCATAGACCAAGCTGGTTTTGGACCGGCTTTACTAGACTTGCATAATTTTGTTTGTATTTAATAAAGCCTATGCTCTCTAAATTTTAAAAAGTGAAAATTCACTCCATTCGAGTGAAGATTCACTCCCACAGTCGGAAACTAGGGACTAGAAGCTTTGGAGTGAAATTTCTTCAATCGTAAAGATCGAGGTTTCACTCGAGCTTCGACTGAAGTGGTTCATTTTTCATGTCAATCAAAAATGAGAGTGATTTTCACTCTAAAACGTCTAGTCCCTTATTTCACTCTTTGGAATTTAGAGAGTACACCAAAATGCCTGATGAGGCTTGACTGTTTCCGAGTCAAATCTACACCACAGGTTTTTTTAAGCTGAACTCACAGCGGAATTTCCGGTGATCTGATTTTGTTTTACTTTGAATCGCATTGCGTGGGACCATGTATCCCTGAGAGGAAAACCTGTCTTTGCAGTTTCACCATACCCCTTAGGAAACTGTCGACTTTACCAGGAACTATCTCTCCTCGTTCCTAGTTAACCAGTATTCAGTCCAATGGGAGCGTAAACCAGATACTATTCTTGGCTCCGGTTTTTCTCGGTGTGTTGATCTTGCTCAGATAAAATCCAGAATTTTTTTTTTATTACGCTGTAACGGATCTGTCTCGGACGCTACGAGGATTTTGATGTGTTGTGAACTCATGGGGAACGGAATCATGATTTCACATATATTTTTTTTTAGCGAGACATCATCGAGGATAAGACTTTATGAATTAATCAATAGGAATGTTGGCTAAGGTTGTTAAACTATAATTATTGGTAGATATACACATCACAAGACTCATGTGTGTAGTTTAATACCTAATAACCGTATGAGGGATACGCGTAGGTCTAAAATGAGGCGTTGATAAATGTCTATAAATGTTAATACTTGTTATTAGCTTACGCTGAATCACTAATCATTTGAAGAAAAAAAATAGGTGATGGGTTTGAGACATACTTTGTATTAGACGACAACATGCGTAGTTATAGAAACAACAATTAAAATAAGATTCTGACTGGCAAAAATTCTTGAGGTGATGTTTTTACGGCTTTTGGCAAATCTTGAAGCTTGGAGTATATGAGATGAATGTTTCTTAAGAACACATTTTTTGCAAAGTTTTACTTCTTTTAAATGTCTGAAAATTACACGAAATCCCTTTTTGGTTCATTTTATTGAAAAGTGCACTTCTTTATACATTTAAATTTTCCGATGATTTTAGGGACAACTGAGGGCGCTGTTGCTGTGATGTCATTTTAGGAAGGCACTGTTCAATTTAGGGGTTTCTGTTCAAATCGTGAACCCAGCAATGTGCTCATTGAAAACTTTGTGAGAAAAGTTTCCTCATTGGCTTACAGCCATGTACTGACACAACACTGAATAGCTAAAGAAAAGAAAATTTACGACAGGAAAACATCCAAAATTCTGGCAACTTTTGATGCTGAAATAACTGTAACATTGAGGTTTCTGCCTGAAATGACATCACACTTTTGCTCATGAATATAGAAATTTGCATTAGCATAAAAAACAAAGAGGCACCAAAATACCCTTGAAAATGGCAAAACAATAAAAATTAAGTTTAAATTGAACACAAAGGTGCATTTTCAGGGACTGCATTTAACAACATTACATACATTGCATGGGCCCTTTAAAGTTCCGATATATAGAGATTTCTAAATAAAAGTCTTATCATGTATATCTAAAAAAAATGGCTATTGTAGACACTATCCTATGACTGACCTTAATTTAACCATGATCTTTTTTACATCAAAACTACGTTGCTTAGCTACGCCATATAAAATTAGTCAGGAGGCCAAAAAACTCATTGACATCGTTTTCCCTGAACATAATTTTATTATTACGATAACTTCGTAATTTTGAAAGCAGAAACGAGATCAATTGAGTTAAAAAAAATGGGATCGTTCCAAACATCCGAACAGCGTTGAAATTGGGGCAGTACAGGGTCGAAGGCAAACCGCGCGAAAATATGCTCGCGTTGTAATACTGAGCACGTGTGGTTTGTGGCTCGTGTCCGTACTAAAGATCACGTTCATGAAGTATTTAACTTCAAGTAAACGCTGTCAATATTAACGTTTAGATATTAAAACCAATTTAGTTCACGTGTTGGCATTTTATGAAGTGTAATTTAATATGGGCCTACGTATATTCGTATAATATGCTGATACTTTTCCGGATCGTAAATTGTACTGAAAAGCTTTCGAAACCTATATTGCGTAGTATTTCTTTTTGTATAGTTTTGCCCTATAGACCTGTCATAATTGGTTAAATAGTTAGGTTACTTGTTTTGAATTCAAAGAGCAGACAAAAATCTCATCTCAACAGAGTTTGGCTGTATTTTACTTACACTTTTTTGCGGCTATATTTAGTCACAATTGTACCATATAAAACGGCATTTGGTTCCTAAACTAACATGGTATGTTTCCTCAAACCAAATACTTTATAATAGCTTTCTCACAATGCTAAAGCGTTATTTTATTCATGTATTTCTCATCGAAGGTATTTCATTCCCCCCCCATGTTTCTAACATTCTAAGATTGTCCAAGATCTGTTCTCTATAAGCGAGTAACACGTTGTATACACTCAAAATAGAAAACCCAAGTGCTGTCGAAAATTGAAAGAAATACCAAAAGACAATTTTGCAAAAAAGAAGGAACATTGCGGCGCATTTTTGAACACGGTCTCCAATGTCGTAATGTGATGCCGCACGTTTTGCACTGGAGAATAAAGATGTCACTCGCGGAATGAAATAGACCACTCGCCCAATCTGAAAACAGTCTCCTTACAAATAAAGACCATTTGAATAGCCTGAGGATGGGACGTTTTGATTTTCTTTCCATTGACTGGGGTTTCGGGTTGCGTGTCTGCTTCACTCATTCAGGTAGAACATCCGCCCGGTTTATGTCAGGATTATCCGGATAATGTTGCACGGCAGCTGCCCGTCGACTTCTGATGAAGGGAGATAGATATAAAGTTCAGGTAGACTGCATGGCTATTTCCCATGAGATAGAGGGTGATCGGAATCTGGAAGTGAGTCCATCAGACGGGATATTTGCCGGCTAGACACGCAGCTCAATGGATTCTGAGATTGCAGATTGACAAAATTTCAGATAATTCTCAATGGGAACGAGGGGGAAAGAGATAGTACAGGGAGTACAGGGAGGTGGAAGCATTAAAGTGAGGTTGGTAGATACGGATAGGCGGTGGAAAGATAAAGCTGACCGATCAAATAAAACGAGTCTTATGAATGTTTTAGATCTCAGTATATATCAGCTTGTCATCTAAATATATGCAGATATAATTTGAGTGAAAACGTTCATTGTAATTGATTTCCATTGTGCAAAGTTTGTAAAGAGGCGTGTATTGAGTACCTTTGGTGACTTGTTACTTATTTCGTTGTGTTTGGTCAGAAGAAGGCCGACAGAACCACATAGACAAATACCTACGGCAGACGAGAAGATACGCGAGAGTTATCTATAGAGATGTTCATAACAGTAGAGTGCCGTGGTCCAATGGTTACGTTGTTCGACTCGTTGGTCCAATGGCTTCGGTGGTACGTGGGTTCGAACCCTGACGGAGAGCATGGTGCCTGTGTTCGTGGGCAAGACACTTTACTACAATGTCTCTCTCCACCCAGGATTATAAGTGGGTACTAATGAAGGTATAGACCAGATTACGCTGATCTGTAGCTGCTGCTGAAAAAACCCGGTTTCATGACCTGAAACAGGGGTAATAATATTGTGAAGCGCTTTGAGACTTTTGGTATAAAGCGCAGTATAAGCACTACATTATCATTATGCGGGGAAGTATGTGAAAGAGGTGAAAGTATACTCCAAAAGTACATATAGGCCTACTCCACATAAGAATCAATGCCTCATTATCTTTATTCTGTTTGTCACAGGGTCACGTGACTGACAGTGGATGACGGATGGAGAAACAAACAAACAACATCAGCAACAAACAGAAAGGTTTCCATACATCAATGCAAAAAACGGTCACTGGCAAGCAAGAATGCAGGAATCTGACGTCCGCACATGCAGACAAAGGTAAGACGTATACGGAAAACAAAATGATAACATTTAATTTCTAATACACGGTGAGTAAAAAAAAGAAACCCAATTTTTTTGAATTTTTCATTTTAAAAAAAATTCTGCATGTAGCATTTTCAGATCTACGATGTGAAAGCTCAATTAATAAGCTTTCTTTTAGTAAAATAATCATTCAAATCACTCGTGTATTTTTCCAATTGCGGAATTTTGGACACAAACACAGTTGCAAAATTTTGCCCACGGCATCACATTTAAGGTACGTGATATTTCAGTAAAAATGAAACCATGTCGTATCATGAACACGTTATCAGAATAATCCCATGTCCCCGGGGTAACCCAAGTAGAAGGCTAGGCAGGACTATAAACTCTTGACATTACCAAGCATGTTGTTTTCACATTGGAAGTAGAAGGTGTATAGATAAAGGTTATGATAAGAGCCAGTTGTCATGGTTATGGGAGTGTTCTGACTTTATTTTAATATGTGATTTGTTTTCGTTTTGCTGAAATATCACTTACCTTTATTGCGATCCATGAACAAAATTTTAAAACTGTATTTGTGTTTAAAGGTCCATAACTGGAAAAGTACATGAGCGATATGAATAATTCTTTTGCGAAAAGAAAGCTTATTAATTGGGCTTTCACATCCTAGATCTGAAAAGTGCTACATGCAGAACTTCTTAATAGAGCCGCCATTTGGGTTTCCTTCTTTTTTTTTTTTAAAACTCTCCCTGTAGAATAAGTTTACTGTCTGTACTCCAAGAGTTGCTTTGTTAGGGGTTAGGGCGCCCTCACCCGTTGATATATGGCCCATTGCTTGCAAAGGTTGACTCTCTCTATAATCCAGGAAGCAATGTGCTGCAACAAGTGACTTAAAAGCTTTACCTGTCAGCTGTACGTGCCAAAATATATCATCAAACGCCCTGTAACGCATTGGTTCTGTCCGGGGATGACAGAGTGCGGTTTTCCAGCCTAGAACAGATGCAGTGCAAGGAAAGATCGATCGGGCATTAACCCGGGATGATAATTAAACCCTGCAGCTATAAATTGTCGCGAGAGGTCCCCGGGGAAGAGGAAACCGAGGAGCAATTCTTGACATTTTACCTTAGCACCCGCTAGCTGATGTGTTTTGACAAATGTTTTCGGAATCAGAATCGAAGAAACCGTGTTGTTGACCTCTAGAAGCATATTTTCTAGAAATGTTTCTTAATATTTGGAACCAACAACGGAAGACCGTGCGGATGTTTACTTTTTCATTTCCATCCGCTGGTACTTTTTGTAATGGCCGATTTGCGTTTATAGCCTTGAGCGGGGCTATTGAAAACCTATTACATTTTCTCGCTTTCCGTTTCATAGTTATAAGCTCTTAGAAGTCTGTGAGCTACGTGCACGAAATGAGTGCAGCAGAAATAGTTGAAATATCTTCAAACAGCCAGCGGCATTTGAAGTTTTAATCCGTTATCAATCTCGTGGAAGATTTGTCTTTTTCTTAAATACACAGAGTCGTCTTTTCAGATGTGGCACGTTTTGAATGTTATTTTTTAGTTTGGTATATGGTATTACACATGTATAACGCTTGAGGCCAATTTGAAATAAACCTAAGACAAAGTACGTCCAGAACTCACAATAATGTAAACACATCTAATTCGCTAATCGGCTATTTGCAGGGGTCCGCGGTCTCATGTTGACTTTGGAACTCGGAAAGAAAGATCAGGGACAAGTAGTGCGCGCGGCCCGTCCACGGGTCCGACCACGCGGGCAGCTGGACCGGAATTTCCGGCATACCTCGGCCGTGGATTCTGGCGAGCTGCCCGTTGCGCCTCCCAGGCGAGGACTGATACACTTGCACTTTGTGACACTTTGGAATCCCAGTGTATGCACTTCCAATCTGGGTATTTATAGATCACATGCTCCATTTTTTTTTAAAAAGTTGGAAGGCCTATACACTTGCTCGTCCCTTGGGGCTTTATGCCCAAGAACTTGTATCTTTGGAGGGGTGCAAGAGGATAGTACGTAGAAATTGGATAATTATTTCCAGCCAAGATGGATGGTGCTGGCTCTTGCACGTTAACATTCCTGGAATTGCTGTCAATGCTACAGTTGCAGTCCTGTCCTGAACTTATTTAGACTTTGGTGTACGCCTTTATGAACGATACCAAAACACCATCAAAACCATTCTTTATTCATCGTGCATTAATTTTAACCACACAAGCATCAAATATCGTGTAGGGCTTTATGAGGACGCCTTCACAATATTCATCACACACGTAAGATGATTAGGAATCTTTTTGCAAAAAAAAAAAAAAAATGTCTGTCCTGTTATTTTTCAAGTGAGACCTGCTGGCTCTTGTAGAGAGAATGCGATTTCCTACCAAGAGCCAGTTAATATTATACAGTGGACGGGCGTTTGGTGCTTTTGCATTGGTTTAGGCTGTTTATGTGTTTTTAGTGGGGCGGTACTTAACTTGCAGTCCTTTCTTACAAGGTGCTTGTGTTCTTGGGCAAGACACTTTACTACAAATGCCTCTCTCCACCCAGGAGTATAAATGGGTACCTGTCAAATAGTTAGAGATCAGAATGCGCTGAATTCGAGCTGCTGCGAAAACTGGTCTCATGCCTGTGGCCTGATGAACAGGGGTTATTATAGTGAAGCGCTTTGAGACCTTTAGTATATAGCGCCATACAATCATAAAGCACCACATTATATTCCTAAATGTACCACTATGGAGACACGCTATCGTAATTTCTTCGATAATAGGGAGACACGGGTCATTAGGGAGACACATAACTGTCTCCCTAATGGCCCATCCCCCCTTTATAGGCAAAATGTTGTTGTCGCAATTAGGTTATATTTGTTGCTCGTGGTCTAATTAATAAAAATACCGAAATTCGTGGAAAAAGGACAAGGGAATATTGGGTTAGGGCACATTAAAATTGAAAAAATTTGCACGAGTCTAATGGAAAGCCTCCCTAATGACCCATTGCCGGTTAACCCTAAAGGGGCCGGGTTATTTTGACCATCTCTCAGCGGGGGGGGGCGGATTCCGCCCCCCCTAAGATCTCGGCCATCGAGTGACGAAAATTTTTGAAACTCACTACATGCATAGAACAACTCTTCCTCAACATGCCCAAGAAATTTCATGACTATAGGTCAAAGGGTTTTGGAATTATGGCTAATTAATTATTCATATGTATGAATGCCAATTCTGCTCGGTGTACACGACGTATATGCGAAAATTCAGTTTTCACGGCGCGTAGCGCCGGAAAATTTTTCGCTACGTGCAAACCCGTGGTCCGATTTTTATGTTTTTGGTATCAAAAGATGCGCAAAGCTCGAGGCTAAAAAGTCATAATAGCTCGGGTCGCGAAAAAAATTTTTTTAGAAGCTATCGCGGAAAATGTTGAGGGGGGGGCGGATTCCGCCCCCCCCCGGCCCTTTTAGGGTTAAATTACCATAGCTATATACCGTCATAAGAGTTTTTTGCGAAGAGGTCTACCATCGTGGTGAAACTCGTTTCCTGTGTTGATTAGCTTGTGATTATCATATCTTCTATCAGGGAATATTCAGCCCCGTGTTTTTAAAAGTATAATTTTCCTATCCCTCACTTTGTTTAATTCAGCTACCTAATCTAAAAAGACCCGGGTCAGATTTTACTTGGAATCCGGGTCCTATGGAGCCTGACACTTTTCCGGGTCAAAAGAGACTTTCCGGGTCAAAATGACACTTCTCCGGGTCAATATGAAACTTTTCCGGGTCAAAATGATCCGGGAAAATTAGTCAGAGAAGATTCATTTTGACCCGGAAAAATGCCATTTTGACCCGGAAAAGTGCCACGCCTCTTAGGACCCAGATTGCGGGTCAAATCTGACCCGGGAAATTTTAAGAGTGCATCTTCACTTCTAGTTTCTGAGTGCCTTTCGGTCTTTTATATTGTTCATACAAAAAGTTAGGTTTATCAGCGGATATACCAAATCTGTTCACGGGGAACTTTTAAAAGGTAATGATTTGGACGGGCGCATAAGTGCACCAATATAAATGCCACGTCAATGTTAACAATCATTTACAATATAACAACCGATAAAGTACCAGATATTTTCCCATTAAGCATCATTTTCATCTAAATGCTTGTAATGTTCGCCATTTTCCTCATAAATTTCACATGTTACAGAGGAGTAATGAAAAACGATTGATGTCGTAATGATTACCATTACAGCCATATCTTGTTACTGTATATTTTGGTCATGACCATCAAACGAAGGATTATCATAATCAGCCGTTTAGGCCAAAACTAATCGGCTCTCTAGGTCTCTTTGACGATCTTTTCCCCTATAATGGGAAAGTCGGATGGCTATTCAGCGCTACCGGTCCAGTCGATGCACTTCATAGGCACGCGCGATTCAGGCTAATGCCAATGAAAGTAAAAAACAATTTAGCGAAAAAAAATCTCCGGGAATTCGGTTAAACGATGGCGGCTCGACTCTGCGCACGGAATGTGTAAGTACCCGCGCTCTGCAATCTGCCGGAGAACCTAACAACATAACCCTCATCAGCAGTGCTCCCAAATTGATGGCCTTTTTCCTTTCTTTAGCCTAGAAAAATGCTCCAAAGGCGTTACTCAGGAGTGGGGTGGGGGATGGGAGACAGGCATTGGGGGCAGGACCGCCCTGATTGAGGCCTGTTCTCCCGAGTGCCATCCGAACTCAAAATTTGAGGGAAGGCCAAACGGATTCTTCTTTTATTGTTATAACCCATTGAGTGCCTCCTTTCAGGAATGAGGTTCACCTAAGTCCCCCGGCGGCTTGAATCCCTGTTACGCCACTGGAACGATCCAACGCTATTCTCCCCTCTAGGCTCTCTCCGTGAAGTCCCAGTCATCTTTTCTTCACGAGGAATCCACGGTACAGGTCTCCCCCTCTCTCCGCGACCGGCACCTTGGCGTCCCCTTGCCCCGTGATGGATCGTTTTTCCCCTTCTTTCTCCCCCTTCCTCCTCCCCGTCCCACATTCCGTAGATGCCCAGCACGAGATGCATCCAACGAGAGGCACAGGCAGCATTTCCGAAGATGCAGACACTGATTGGAATGCATTAAAGAATGCTGATGTATGAAAGATATGTGTTTGGAGAATTTCCTGGGAGACGTTTCACTTTTATAATTAGAGGGCCCAATACGAGAGTAGATTTTGGAGAAGTTGTTGAGGTCTTAGTTACTGTATCTCAAGTCCCCTTAATGGAAAAAAGGAGATACATGATCTGTGAAGGAAGGGACTCCACACGTTTTTGAATGCTGTTTATAATGTTGGTCCACGATTTTCCTTGGCAACTGCTTTTTTTTTCTTCTTCAAATATATGATGATTTGAACAGATACTGTGTTATTTACCATTAATGTCAAAATAAGGTACAGCGGCACTTTTGTAGATTAGTAGACATACGTCAGATCAGCTTCGAACAAATGTCTTTTCTACCGAACAGTTTAACAAAATAGCATCTTTTATTATAGGTTAATGCTTAAAAGTAAGGCTTACGTCCTACGGACGTGAATGACGTCATTCATCATGCGAATTGTACCTGGAAAATCCGAGATGGAATTAAATTTTTTTTTTCTTCGACAGGTCACGACTTTGTTTGAATGGCTTTTAAATTGATGACGTCATCGAACCGGAACCGAAGGTGAGGGGAATGATAAGCGCATCACCGGGGATCAAATTTCCTGTATAAGTCATTAATGATGCTCACGACGAGTTCAGAGCACTATATTGCAAAACAAGCGGGTCGTGACAACTATTAACACTCAAATCCACTACGTCATCCCAAACATTAGTAAAAACACATGCGTTAAGATTTACTACCATGTTGAATTTAAAGACAGGTAGGAGCATTTGCAATTACCAGGGACCGGACCCCCCGACTTAACGAGAAAATCCTTGCTCAAAGTGAAGATAGGACTGGCACCAAATACGCTGTGGAATGATCCCGCCTGAAATGGTATCGCTCGGAAGAAACAATCATTGATGGTGGTGTAAGAAAGTGTTCTACATAACCCCCGAGGACCGACACACAAAGGGACAACAACTGATCCTTTTAGTCCTCAGGAGTTGTGCCTTTTGTTGGAAACGGTCCTCTGTAGGTTTGTTTGCTTAGTCTATGGGAGAGTGTTGTATTACAGGGCTATTATTGTCCTCGAGAGTATAGTAAAACACGACTGGGTGCGTTAGTAACGGAATCCGGTCGCGAGACCCCCAAAATGATTAGCAAACTTTTCTCTGTTTTCTCACAAACGTGAAGTATCCACTGAACTTAAACTTCAACAAGCTACTTGTTCTTGTGGGTACGTGTGGTCTAACGGTAGAGCAAAGGATTCATGATCGTGAGATTGTGGGTTCGAGCCCCGCCGTGGCCATGAGTGTTGTGCCCTTGAGTAAGGCGCTTTACTTCATTTACTCCTCTCAGTGAGTGACGAACCTGTATTCACAGGCACTCCGTTCCTGTGAACACAGGTTCTTTACCTTTACCTTACTTGTCATGCACCCTTCTTAAGATTTTGAACAATTGTGTTGCTTCAAACGAAAACAAAATTGCACACAAAGGATATGATCTAATGTACCTTTAAAGTCAAGGTTTGTTTCCATTAAGCGCTGAATAGGGTTCGGAGACAAGTGATGGGTGTTACGTTTGATAGTGAAGTGAAGGCCGAGCGAACAATTACGGGAGTGAGTTAATGCGTGATCGGTAAACATTGCTGGGACGTAAGCATTGCGTAGATAACCGATTGCAGCACAAATCACTGGAGACTACACCCCCTTGACCTTTCGCAACAAAAAGAGGCCACGCAAATCTTATCAGCTCCTGTCTCTTTGAACCATTGTCTGCTGTCGCTGCCGCCTTTCAAGAGAGGCTCGCAGATGCCTTCATGACAACCAATTTTCTCCTTGGAGCTGTAAGATGGAGAGGTGGATAAAACAAATTTAATTACCTTGTTTTATTCTCTCAACCCGGATCACGCGCCCGATCCGCTTAGGGCCTCCGGGCGGCCTTTGCTCGGTCTAAATGGGCCGTGGCAACAAACTTGGTACTTTGGAGTGTAGATAGAGATATAGAACGACATCAATTTTGATTACGAGATGGGCTCACAGGTCCGTCATTGAATGATTTCATGCAAGAAAATGCAGAAGATTGTTGGCCCAGAAGATAAATGGTTAGAATTGACTTTGGGAACAGAGAGCAAGCATCTTGCCTTCGCTCTTCAATGGATTGGCCACCTGACTTATAGCTGGTAATAACTTCAGAGACTGCATGATACGCATGGCTTCTTGTTCAGTACAGTTTGTTAACCATAAATTATGTGACCTGTCACCGCAAACTGAGCTTAAAGTCGGAAATTGCCAGTTTGCTGTACAGTGGGGCAAACCCAAAATTTAAAAGGGTGGTCAAATTCTTGTTTCCAGGTGAGCCTTGATCGTTAGGTCCTCTGTTCCTTTCTCCATTTTCTCAAGAATCAGTTTTACTACTTCAAGTAAGTTGGTGGTCTATATTACCGTTACTGAATTCAGTACCCCTAAACGTTATAGACCATTGGAAAGCTCTTGTCCTGCAAAATCAAATATATAAATATCTCAATTCTTAAAAATCCGGCTTTAAGCTCATTTTGTTAGGACAGGTCACATATTATAAATATATTCCCCAAGTCGGAATTCAAAGATGCATAGTCTGTAACATTGTCCAAGCTCTAGGTCCCACCGCGGATAGAATTATGCAGACCCAAACTTTGATGTAAATTGACATTTTTCCCAAACCCTCAAATCTTATTAGCCTTTTGAGATACGAGGGCGCTATTTTGGTTTGAATAACATTTATGAATAAAAGTAGTGACTATTTGTATTCTGTTTTATTTCCAGGTTCTCGTTTAAAAACTGATCACATTTCAAAGTATAAAGACGCGACGGTAATGTGTGTAATTGGAATCATATTTTGGTACATGTATAAGCGATATCCCTTTTGACATAGCTTGCAATGGAATTAAAGGTATGGTAAAAACACCCATGATATTTTGGATACTTGACTACCTATCTCCCTTTTTTCAGACCTTGGACTACCTACGTGACTTGGACTAACCCACCAATGAGGCACACGCCCCTGCCTCGATCCCAGCTACTGCCCGCTCATTGGCTCCATCCGCGCGTGGCGCGTGGCCTCATCTGCATAATTCGACGCCGGCCGTCCGACTTGGCAGTCACGTCTTCTTGCAGTCTCGGCGGTTTATTTCGCAGTATGTTGTTGTCAGGAGAACGTGATTACGGGAAGCAGACTCGGGGAAGCTGGAGAAGAGGAAAAAAACCCAAAAAACGTCCGGATTCCGTCCCACAGAGAGCGTAGTTTCAGCCGTGGAGGACAGGGCGCCGCCGGCAACACGAAGCGTGTGACTTGAAAAACACATCGCTCTAACCACACTGTCACGCTGATACTGCTACTGCTACTGTGCTACAACCACTCAGGTAAATATTACCATTTTGCCCTAATTGGAGAGTCTATATTTTGTGAGAACAAAGGTCAGTATTGTTACGGCAGTTTTTGCTTAAACAATACATGTTTATAATAGTTGCTGTACAATATTCACCCTGTTCAACGGGCAGACATTTCTGAAACGTCCGAGTAAAAAAAAAAATCCTTGGCAGCCGTTTACCGAGATTTGACAGAGGCGGAATTAATCACCCTATAACAAGAACTAAGCTGAGCTAGTTTGCTCTTGTATTGACGGATGCTTTTGAGGTAATTCCTCTTGCTCATGGACGGATGAAGCCCAATTCTCTCGTCAATGGGTCGGTTTTTTAAAAGGCCAATCCATCAATCTGTCCAGTCGTCCCATGCTTTAACCTGTCTTCTGTAAAATTCTGTTGTTTTTCTGTGTGATATAATCTAGGCCAATTCATTTTAACTGGCGACTGTTCTATGTTACGACACCCGTATGTTCCGAAACCCCATATATGTTGTTCCGACACCCCATATATGTTGTTCCACACCCCATATATGTTGTTCCGACACCCCATATATGTTGTTCCACACCCCATATATGCTGTTCCGACACCCCATATATGTTCCGACACCCCTATGTTCCGACAACCCGCACATAGGATTGTGTTACTTAGGGTTAAGGTTAGGGTTAGGGTTAGGGTAGGGTAAGGGGTATGAATTATGAGCAGTCGGAACATGGGTGTGTCTAAACATAGTTGTGTCGGAGCATAGGTGTGTCGAAACATAGGTGTGTCGGAACATAGGTGTGTCGGAACATAGGTGTGTCGGAACATAGGTGTGTCGGCACATAGGTGTGCCGGAACTTAGGTGTGCCGGAACATAGGTGTGTCGGAACATAGGTGTGTGACCATTTTAACTTCATGTTGACATTTTCAAACTGTCCTGGTACCGTGACGCTTCTGAACAGCTTTTTATTATTATTATTATTATTATTTATTCGACCAAAATTACAAACACAGAGATGGGCCAGGGGCAGCAAAAATAAAAATACTGTGGTCCGCGGACCTGTTGCCCCACATCAAAGTGCTTAAAAATCATATATAGAAATATAAATAGAAAAATTAATACAAAACATACACAAATATATATAGAAACATTAATAACTTCTGAGCAACCGAAAAGTTACGACCTAACCCCCCAAAAACTTCCTCCACCCCCCCCCCCCCAAATGACACCCATTCACTACCAATACACGGAACGTGATATTTTGCTTGTTGTCTATTTCCCGAATGGACGCAAAACCGTGAAAAGCTCGACACTATTTTGGGTGGAAAGCAACTTCTCATAATTTGTCCTGGTTCAGTTTAGATATGGAAACACATAATATTACAGGACGTGTCTTGTTAATGACTGTGTTTTCTAATCGCGTCACTGTAGATTACACATTACAATGACAATGGAGTGATTTCCCAGTGCTTGATTTCATTACGGAAACAGCTCTTTTTACAATATACAGAATATGAGGCCTTTCATGGATCGGTAATGTGTTTGCGTTGCCATGGAAATATAAAGTCCCCGTCTTTGCGTATTGTCTTCGTGTTTTCAGTGGGCTTCAAATAAAACCGTGTAATTGAATTTTACGTGACAGGCTTCCCCTTCCACAATTCAACCGAAGTGAATACAAATAAATTTTGCGAGATTGTGTCATGGTACAGATGGCTGTCCGAGGTAAGATGCGAATGAGACGTATCGGATACCTCTGCCATCGGGCACAGCATATACAAAGCCAGCCAGTTTGACAAAGTCTGGTTGCAAACGCCTGGAGCACCACGACTGATATTCGTCTGGCATCCACGTCTCAACTCAAGCCTGTACCTTTTATCCAAACTCAATTTCCCTTAATTTGCCCAAAGTCCGCGAGCTCATCAGCTGGAATCACACCTAAAGGCATTCATTCCTCTAGTTTACAAAAACTCTCCGATTCAAGACTAGTTACCGGTCTGTCTGTCATTTACTCACGTTTTGCTACAGTATAAAATTACACCGGATGTAATTCGGCCGAAATTGCCTTGCATGAAAAGAACATGCATAATTTTTTTGGTCCGTGTTGGAATGCCCAGATGCTCTTAGCGGGCAGGGAACTCGTTGCTAGCCGGGCAACAAGCCCATTCCCCCGGTCTCCCTGATCCGAACGACACGCTGGGAACGAATCTTATTGGAACGTGTTCCCGGAGAGAAATAAATATTGTTTACCCCTTGCGTTAAAAAAAAAAAAATTGTGAAAACACAAAAAAGATCAGGCGATTAGAATGTGTTTTTCTTCTTTCCCGTCGGAACCTAAACTAAAGGAGTCTTGAGGGCTAGGGCGACGGTCAAAATTTACAGCCCAGAAAAAAAGGCAAAATTATAACTCGCGGCAATAATGTTGCTTTTCCGCCGAAGATGATTCAATTTGCCGGCAGTGCGCCGTTTATCAAAATCCCTGCCTCATAAGGACCGAGTCGAAGGGTCGATGAAATTCAAGTTCCCACATAGCCACTGCCGACGGTGCCGCGACTCGTCTCATCCCGAGAATAGAAGACTTTGAACATTGTTATTATGAACTTATCTGATTGTGATGTTTGCTCGGCCGTTAAACGGCTCGATATCGCGTGTTTGTTGTCGGAGTATCTTGCAACATAGGATTGCGTCCCCTCGTTGCCTTATTGTTATAAAAAAATATAACTGCAAATGTTCAGTTCCCAAAGCTTGTTAGGAAACAAAAATCGATTCTCAAGCTTACTCAAGGGTAATTCCCCTATTTGGTAACAAGCCCATTTTTTTTGTATTGCCATGAATATAATTTAGATCTTTCTTTGTATTTAATGTACTACCATCTGTCCTCACGTTTCAAGAAATCTTAATACTCGCAGATGTATACAATCTGGATTAAATTCTATACCGCGTAGACTAACCCTCTCTTCACTCATCTTCTCCGTTTTGTTTTATTGACTTGTCACTCCTCGCGCGCCGCACTTGCTCTTAAAGCTTAGAGCCGTTGAAGAGCAGACGAAACGGACCATCAACACAACATCATGTCCACACAAATTCCCCCAAATCCGCGCCTGGGCAGAGAAATGCCATTATGCAGCGACCTTCCCTCCGGAAGAAAAGCCGTCAAATCCTCTACAGTTACACTGATCGTTTTTATGCTCTCTTATAAAAATACACCTGTAAAAGCATATTTGATAACTGGCATCATTTGAGCAAATGAGCTATGAAATCCGAGTGAATGAAGTTAAGTCCCCTAACTGTAAAGCCCCGTCGTCACGCGTTTTTGAATTGAAATATGAAATGCAAATAGCAGCTTGTCGACTTGTTCCAGAGTAAACAAGCCGTGCACTTTTCCGCTGTTAATGGCTAATCCATCTTAATCATCTACCGTACGTTGTAACGTAAAGACGTCCCTCTGTTTTCGCTTTGCTGAAAGAACCCTTACCTTTTTGTGATCCGTGGACAGAACTTTAAAACGGTGGTTGTGTTTCAAATTCCGTAACTTAAAAAATTACATGAGTGATTTGAATGATTCTTATACTAAAAGAAAGCGTATGAATTGGGCTTTCATATCCTTGATTTTGAAAGTGCTACATGCAGAACTTCACTAAAATATTGGTCCCGACATTTGGGTTGCATTTTTTTTTACTCACCCTGTATTGTGCCTCGGGAATATCAACTCTCATAGTGTGAGTTTCGACTACTAGATGATTGTGGAACCTGAGATGGAACCAGACCCGGAGACAAAGCCCAGGTTTCGAAAACCGCTTCGTTGCCTGTCGCAGACGGCGGATCATAAATGTCATTTTCTTAAACCATTGTATAATGTTAAACCCAACACTGCACAAAATAAGGCAAGTCATTCAATCAGCAGACATTTTGCCGTCTTCGAAGTAGACATGCGTTTCCTTAATTAATTTACCGACTAAAGCTCACGCAGGTCTTTTGCACCCTGTTGGTTGCAAATTCACTATAAGACCCAACCTGTTTCATTGCCGACCACTTTCCATACCAATAATTTGACATCTTTGGTATTTCTGAAGAGGTTCGACCGCGCAGGCTCTTAACAAATTAAAAAAATCGCGTGGGATTTTCCTCTTCAAACTGTGAATTATTCACTACACACGCCATGCCTTGGGTTAGACTGACATAATTACTCGGAAAAACAGTGGGGGTATATGAAGATTGTGTGCCGCTGTATCAAAGTCTCAAGCGTGACCATGAATCAACGAAGAAGCTTCTTTAGGTTTATTGAGGTAATTCCACCTGACGTGGAAAGCCACATTTTGCCAAGAGTCCCCCAGGCCACATTTGGATCGTTCGGCTGGTAATGACCGATTGAATTGCAGTAATTTGTTTCAAGGTTTTATGCTGGATGGGAATGGACGTCTCGTTCTTAGTGTCGCTTGGAGAGAGGGATCGGGCAAATGTATCTTCATTTATTTCGTTCAATTCGTTCTTGTTATGAGAGGGTTCCGTTCAAATTTAGGGCACGGGCACTTTGTCTCGGAAACCTGAAGAAATCCAGAGACTAGGGAAGATGCTAAAGAAATTGTTATTATTAGAGATGGGAATGAGAAACCCGGCAACTACCAGGGAGAACCCAATTGATTAATTAGGACGGGAAATCCAATCCACTCATCGGTACTGGATGGATTCGAATCCAGGTCACACAGAGGTGGAAGGTGAGGAGAGTACCGCTATACGCCAACCTGACTCCCTATATCTGTATCTGTATGGTTACGTTGCAGAAACCTATTCAGGCATTATCGCAACGGAGTATGGGTACTCAAGGCACTGGGAGTTATGTCTGTTATAGATGATCTGAATGAAGTACATGAGAAATATGAGACCCATTATGTAGCACCTTATAAGGGTTTACAAGGTGCTGCAGCCACTGCCAGGACACCGGGGCGAACCCCTTCTCTTTAGCGACAAGTGTTACTGGGTTCTTTAACGTGCATTACACAACACACGGGACCTACGGCTTTACGTCCCATCCAAAGAACGAAGCAATAATGGTTAAGTGCCTTGCTTAAGGGCACAGGCTGGTGTCCGCCGGCGGGCTCGAACCCACGTCACTGTTGCTTCTGAAACGCCAGAACATGAGTCCGGTGCTCTTAACCGCTAGGCCATGACACTCCATATAGAGGAATTTGCTGTCTTTAGCTGAGAAAATTTCACAAAGAAAGGGTCCTCGATTCACACAGTGACATAGCACTGAGGGCCTCGGTATCAGTGCTAATTTTGGGAATTCCCTACTTGATTAGCTACGACGATTGGATCTTTTAGATGAAACAAGCGAAGATCGTAGACAACCCAAAGCAACTTGTTACGTATCAATATCGGCACTTCGGTTACACAAACGATAGACTGACTCTTTGACATCAAGCCACGTACACATCAAACTTGCTTTTGGTAAAACGAAGGTGACTGTTGTACTTTACAGAGACAGTTAACTCCGGCGCGGAAAGCCCGTAAACCGCCTAATTTGTCAAGTGTCGACTGTCGTTTGTAAATTTTACAGGGCCAACTGGTGGGCGGAAAACTCACACTGTTCGTTTTACTTAACGAATGACTGTTCACAGGCCGAACTTGATCTTAGTGCGGACGCTGGGTTGAATAATTCAGCAAGGTAATGTTAAAGGGAAAATACAACATTTGCAAACATCAACAAATAAAACTACCAAATCCTTTTGAAATACCTTGCTGGACTGTTAGTGAATGACAGTGTAAAGCATCCTGTAAAATCATGGCACTTGGTATACTGTCATTTTCAAGAAAAGTCGTATTTCTGTATCAATTTCCAATGCTGGTCGGCCGACCAGCGTTGGAAAAAAAACTGGCTTTTTTTCAAATACTGGCCCCCATTGGCCATCGCACTTGTTTGCAATCGACAACACACCTTTGAACGGGTTCAAGCCAGCTAAACTGGTTCCCTGGCCTTACAATTCCCAAATGTATGTAAACTGCTCTGTTTCTTCTTAAATGGAGTCAGGGAACCAGACTACAGGAAAATGATTGTTTTTCTTGGTTTTTATAGCATTTTCGAACCCAAAACCTCCAAAAAGTCAGTGTAACTATATTTGCTATATATTTCCAACCCCCCAATTCCATCCATTTCTGAAAATTACAGCAAAAGCAAATGATGCATATTCCCTTTAACGATCAATTGCGGTAACTTTTTTACACAATTGAGTCCAATGCGAACGTGGCTTCAGTTGAACGGAATCACCAACGAAAACTGAACCATGCCACAGGGGAAAACGTTTTTAGTAAACCAAATAAGAAACATTATAATTATTGCGATTTCCGTTTTATCAGGTGCACCAGTTCAATAGAAATGTACTTATTATATACCAATGTTTTGTTATATGTCATTCACTCGTTAAACCAGGCAGAATGAGACTCTTGCCGAACCCCATTTTTTTTTATCTATGCTGATAAACCCAATAGCCGACCTGTTGTTTACCCATACTCAACACATTTTAACCCTAAGTCAGCATGCTGTTTAGTTAAACAGTTACTTCCTCGCGAAAACACACACTCGACAAAAACTGTCAAATCGCAGTCAGTCGTTTTGAGTGAATCGACAATCGCTAAAATGTTTCCCTAATTCGCTCCAGCCGCATAAGGACTTTGTTCGCCGGGAAGGCGCGTCCACCACCTCGTTCAGCTCTCCCAGCATCACTTGAAGTTTAGTCTTTGCTCACGGCTTCCATCAGGGACAAAGTCAGATTGTTTCTGCCCGGAAAACAAATTACCAATTGAAACAAAAGTTGCAGTTCTGCATCGTTTGAGCTTTGGGGAAATATGTAATAAATGGCTTGAACGCGAGAGGAATGATTGATTTGTGAGCACTTGGGCACGTGTATATGCAGCTGCACGTGGTTATTTTTCCCGAGTGCCCGTTGTACGCGAAAAACAGGTGATTTTAATATAGGAACGTACTTTTGCCAGGGACCTCCGAAATGAAAAGTCTGTAACTCGATGCTGCCTCACGACAGTGAGTGGAATTTTAACCTGCCGCCTCGTCTTCAATCAAATAGACACTAAACTGTATTTGTTTGGAGTCCATCTTTGGACACTTGCCAAATGAGAGGTACTTCAGACGGTAACCAAGGGTGAGGGTGCTCAGGAGGCCAGAAACTTACAAGGTGAAGGAGACCAAATTTCGTTAGAGTCCAAATTCAATTGACACCGGTTCATACTCCAAGCGAATGAAATAAAAATCGTCAGGTGTTTTCTCTTTGTATTCTTCGCTGTTGTCCTTTACCTATAGAAAAATCCCTTTGTTTGTCCGTTAACCTTTCGATACTTCTGTCCGTGCACGTCTTTTTCGTTGTTTTTTTCCTTCTGAATTTGGTCCTCAAACTGGAGTTTGAATTGTCTAAAACAATGCCAACCATTGAGCGTTCCAGTTAAAGCTCCCATCCCGTCTTCAAGACACCTCGGTCATAACTATTTGCATATTCCGATTCCTTCCCACAGTTCATGTCCCCAGAGAGCTGTCTTTGAACAAAAGAAGAGTGTCACACAAAAGACACATCCTACATGTCCTTCAGGCTCAACTGATGTTCGCCAGAGATTTACGAGTTGCAGCATCCCCCGAGACACCGAGCCGTCATCCTAATCTCGCCGGCGAATCCACCTGGTGATCCGGTAAGCATCTCCCCTTACTTTTTCCCTGGACTGGTAGACTTTTCTTATCCACAGTCGGTCGTTGACTCGAGGTTGCCGCGCTTACGGCTCCAGTTACTCCCAATCTTGTCAATTTCGACGAATTTCTTCTCAAATTGCCCACAATGAGATCCAAACAATTCGCGAGTGCCGTTACCTTTCTGATACCAGAATTCTTTACTCGTCAATTTTTTTCGCTGGTGATAATAACTTGTCACTTTTCGTCCTTCGGGTAAGATAACTCGACTCGGCGCGGTGTAACTCAGCCTTGTTATTGGCAACTAAAACGTTAATCATCCCGTCGATCACACGTCAGGCTCCACACAGATTGTCATTGAAAAAAGTTGGAGAACTTCAATAATAATTGAAATCGACATGTGACAATTACACGTACCTTGCTGCTTGTTTAAATTGCAACGGTATCTCGTTACCTCTTGCTATCTTTACCCCTGAAGGTGTGTGAAAAAAAATCATATTGAAATTTAAGTATTCATTTTTTGCAGTTTAAGAGCCACATCCTAGCACACGCCCGAGTGTATCAATGGGACACCATAGTATCAGCAACATGGCGGTCGTTTTGAATATTACTGAACCATGCCGCACCCATGACCCTCATATGCAAACACACATTCTGTGCCAAGCAGTCCTTTCAGTCAAAATCAAACAAGTGACTGTATTCAACATTTAAGAATTCCCAGCCAACATAAAGCAGGAGTGACTGGCTGTGATTGTTTAAATAACTTGTTTAAAAAGTTATACTTTGACTCCGAGTGAGTGATAAAACGGCTGTGACTACAACTTGCCTGCTTTGTCTGTTGATCCATTTTGACTAGTCACAGTGCTTGCTTTACATACGATCTGACTGCTGGTGACTAGCCTTTGTTAAAGGTACAGCAGGGGAAATGGAAGTGCATTTGACTCTCTGTGACTGTCTAAATATAAGGGGTTTACGTTGTTGGAATAGGTGTAGATGGTAGATGTAGACGATCTAAATAAGCATCAACATTTTCTGCTAAAGTTTTCTGTTTCCCCAGAGAAACAAACTCATACCTTTTTGAAAAGACGCAAGCAGTAAAACTTTTAGCAGTTTAATCGAACTTAACTCCAACTGTATTAGGATTGGGTAACGTTAATTGAAAGAGTTAATATGAAATGGATACATTGACAACTTTGTCTCGTGTCTAATTTCCGGAAGCAACTAGAGAAATCTTCCGCTGCATGTTACCTTGGAAGTGACAGTATAAGTTTTGATTTCATTACTCTGCATGAATACATCTTGTCTTTTGGTATGGTGACCTTGTATGGTAACCTCTGCTGCATTTGACAACACACCCACTCGAGTCTAATGCTTTTATAAAAGACAGGTCACATTTCCTTCTAAGCTGTTACATTCTTGACGCGCGTGATGACTCTCTCAGTTTGAAAAATCGAATCATTTTAGCGTCAGAGTCAGAACGCCTGAAGCGTGTCTGCCATTTTTCCGAAGGTATTTTGTGCACGCACCGTCAATATGTCTTGATGTCATTCCCGAAGTGGTACGTATAAGGGTATCTACACTAGTGCCTTGCACCTGTTCGGCCAACTTAAACTGCCCTGCCATTCGGATATCCGTTTCCCTGGTAGTATCGGTCACGACTCCGTGTTCTGACGACGTTTGTTTAAGTTATTTAGTGTTACCTATCAGCGGGAAGATAGCGGGAACCAATGATGGTGAGCCAGGTCTATGAATAGAGCCCCCAAGAGTTCAGATTAGGGGTTATTGGCATCAGTATAAACGAGTTAAGGATGAAGACCAGGGAGCCATAATAACTCGTTTCTTGCTATCCACAGTTTTCGAAAGTCGGCATTGTGCGCATTAGCGCCCTCTGTTGTGTCTTTCACACATAGGATGGTAGTAGCCTTTAAGATTCGATGGTAACCCTCAAACTTCATCCTCTTGTACTTTTTGGCTGTATACGTTTCATTAAAAGTTAACAAGGTTTGATATAACCTAAATCAATAAGGATGCCTATAAATTGGGAGCTCGTGCCAGTTGCACGCATTGCCGGAGAACTTGACCTCACTAAGTGGGCGTGTTGCCCATTGCGGCCTTCGTATTAACTTTTTAACTTCAGTCTGATTTGTCCAGCAATCAAGCCTTCTTGATCGTGCCCACGAACCGCCGTCTTATCATAGCAGGCTAATATTTTACCGTTTACACTCGGAAATTGAATTAAGGCGCCCTGCTGAAACAACCACCCAGACAATGTCAAGAAGCGTTAGGGAGCGCTTCGATCACACCTGATCAACGTGCGCAGCCAACGTCCAACACTCTTTAAAACGCACTCTTTAAGTTGTGCGGGATCAGTTCATCTGATCTTTATTGAATGTTCTCAGTTTAGAACGTACTTTATTCGAAAGTTCTTCGTAGAAGCTGTTATATCCTTCTGTATCAAAAAAATAAAACATACATTTTATATTTTCATTTTCTATAATTTAGTGTCCAATGCATTCTGCGGACGTGTATTAAACACTGTTTGTGTAATGGTGCTGTGTGTATTATGTGACACGCATACAACGTGTACAGTTGAATAGAAACGACTTGAAATACGTATGCTTATGTCACAAAATGTCCGCCCCATCGATGTACACAACCGTGTTTTTTTTTCGTGTTTTCTCGGGAACGGTAAGACATTGGGCTAGTTTCCTATCAACCAGACCATAGAAATCGGACAAGTAAACAATCCAAAAACATGAAAATTTTCAGGGATTTCATGCCACTTAAACATTGTAAAAACATAACATCCTACGAAGTTACAGAACATGTAAGCAGAAGAAAAAGAAAAACCCGGAAATCAACATTGACCGTGTGGCACCTACGGCAATTTGTCTCCCATCTCCCGGGATCGATTTCAATCTCGGAACGCCCATGTTTTCCCATTGGCCTATCGCATTACAGATCCCCCACAGCGTGCGTGTGTGTGTCGAGAGCGGAGCCCTCCCCTCCCTTTCAGCAGACTCACGCGTGGCAAAGCGGTGTTGCAATTAACTCAGTAAATTAAATCCGATGCCGGCAAGCGGGCGACGATTATGCCCCGTCCATCGATCGGGTAAATTGAGTCTGTTAGACCTTCCGGATTACTTTAAGCGACAGTGGGTGTCGGTTGTCGTCCATTGAACTTGAAACTGGACTCTTCCGCGTAGAATCGAGCGCGCGTTTGGTCTTAGGCCTTATGTGTTTTGTCAAAGCCAGTTACGGACACATCGCTTACGTGCATGCGAGCACAAATCTATAGCGTCTGTACGACGTACATCCACCCGTGGACGCACGGCCGGCGACAATGGTGCACAGCTGTCCTTCAGTAAAAGTTATGCGTACTTATGCACGATAGTCATAATCCCCCACGGTTTTATGTCAGTAGCAAGTTGCTACTTCAGCCTCGGTCAGTTCGAATGCGGAAATAAGAATTGTTGACAAAGTGAGAAAAGAGTGTTCATGCATGCTCACGAGGTGCCAGCACCCTGTACTCTGTACTCGGTACTCTGTCCTTTCAAGAATACAAACTTTGAAATGCGTAGAAACCATAAAGCTGTAATTTAAAATAGCTCTATGGTAGAAACTTAAAAAAGAGGAAAACATGGCCCATTTCAATACCATGTTCACGTCATTTACAATAATGAAGTTAACACTACGCATATCGTCTTTGAATTTGAATATCACATCACGTGTTATCCTTCGCCCTGAAAACACATGAAGTTTGCACATGCTTTGACATTCCACTTTGTGGGCATTTCAGCTGTTGGAACATTTTATTATGGCTTGCAACTCGTCGTCAGTATGTTAGTCACTGCGCTGCTGTCCCAACACAGAGGTCCTTGGGGGATACACATCGAATAGACGTGTTGCACTTCTTGCAACATAAGATAAAAGCACGTCCTTGTCAAATCATCCGTGAAGAGTTGCGTGCCAACACGGCATGGAAGATGCGCCGGTCGCCCCGCTAGAGAAAACAAATGATTCCAAACGGCTACACGCGCGAAAATTGGAGGGGAAATTCAGTGTTCGCGCCATTTAAACCACCTGTCTGCCATACGAAGCACTCGGAGGCGCGTTCATGACTCGTCAATAATGTAATGTAATGTGATTTCTGTTACTAAGTCTCTTCGACTGAGCGGAGCATAAACTTGTTATTTTCCGGTGATGTGTTTTGTTTGTCTGTTTGTTAGTTAGGAAAGTGCCTTTTACTGACTTGTAATTGCATTGACAGAATCTGCTGAGATGCGATTTGCCGCCATAAGTCTCGTCGCGCGCAAGGAAACAAAACAGTGAAGTCAAGCTTCGGTCACTGACCTCGCGTATAATGTCACTGTACAGGGACGTAACAACACTTTAACTTTTGAGGCAGAATTTGAGGACCGATCGGATAAAAACAAGTTAGACAAGTTGGAGTTAATTTGCCGGAACACTATATAAATCACAGTTAATAACCAATGCGCGTCGGGAGGATGTGATAACACGCACTGGCTGTTTTATACACAGGCACGGCTGACGGGTTAAATCGTCAAGATTGCCTCGACTTGCCTCCGGGTGACGTCTAAACACGTTAATCCATCGTGCCTTTTGTACACACGCACAAAGTCCTTGAAGTCTGTGGAGGCGGACCGTGTGTTGACCTTGAATTGGCCGTTGTGCACGGCCTATTGGACATTTTGCGCTCCAGTGCACACCCGGAGTATTGAAACATAACAGTTTCGGCGAGAAATATCGTAAGACTGTTAAAATGACTCTTGCGAATCAGTGTTTGTATCAGTGTTTGTGGCGCGCGTTTGGCTGTTTATCAGAAGTTGGCTGAAATTGTTTGGCCTTTTTGCAAAAAAATTTCGGAAAAAAATATTCCCGGCGCGATGTGGTTTTAAACAACCACTTGGCACGGGAGTGCAAGTAACTACACCAGAACACATTTTGTTTGAGGCCATTGTAAGTACTTTTGACGTAT